TGCTAATATCTGTTGAATACTCGATGAAATTCTGTGTAGTCAAAGCTAAGAGAATTGATAGTTACCTACTTTCTTGTCTCTTAACAGAATTCTCACATGGTGTTTAGTTTGTTCATGTGGCATGCCACCAATGCAGGGACCACTCAGTAGTTAGTTAGTTGATATCTGACTGACCAGATAGGGTAGTGACCCTTATCACTTCCAATTTGAAACATAACATGGTGTATCTGGAGGAGTTTCAAGATGATCTTTCCTGCCTGCTTATTCGTGTACTACCATAATTACTGACATGAACTGGCTACAAATGGGTAATCAATATAGCTGCACAGTCCTCATTGTTGAGAGCTTATCAATCGACTCCGATTAGTGTTAAACACTAAAGACTAACCAGTTGCATGGGTTACTCACTGGAGACCAGGTTTTGTACAAATTCTAGTCATATTTAGTGGTCAATTGTGGTACGAACAGAAACGCATTCAAGTCGCTAAACTCAATTCTGAGTGACGCAAGTGTAAGGACCAAAATACAAATCTTCTGGTCAGAATTTAGCTTACAGTCAAAGACAGGTTTCGATTCATTCAAAAGAGACGACTGAGTTCTTACTATTTAGTGCGCTTTGTATCCTGCAGTTACGTGTAGCCAAAATATATTTCAAAGATAAAGCACGATTAAGGTGGTTATATCTACGGAAATCAATTTATCGAGCTAGAGAGAGAGAGGAAGTGATATGAATATTCTTATGACATTGAGCAACAACGAGAGTATGGAAATAAGTCAGTGAGATTATCTTCGCTTACAAATGTAATGATAGGACAGTAAATGCAAATATAGCTGCATATATCCTATAAGGGAGTTTCCTACCACGTTCCGATACAGCAGGTTTATGTCATTGGGAGTACACCAATTTCCTCATAGCTGATGGTACACTTTGCGGATGAGCGCCAAGAAGTCCTACAAGTTGATCTCCAATATCTAAAACCACTATGGTTGCTTCATACTATATCGTATATCGTATTAAGCAGTATTACTAACTCATGCCGCCATCATTCTTGCTTTCTGATCAATTTCAAACTTCTCCGATTGTCTGACTTCAAATAATGACATTCTCCATTAGCATCAGCTTCAAAAATGAAGCATTCCCTGAAAAAAGACCAGTTTCGAATATTCTGTGGTTATTAGTATGAGTAACCTAGGTCGTCTATCTATCTAATGTCTTCAGCAACGCATTTGTCATAAATTTTGTACACTCCATTTTCCAGCTTCTTTTCTGTATACTACCCGCGTAGGTAGGTTTACACTACCTGAGTGAGGTCCGCGAGATGATAGGAATCAGTTGTTGAGGACTCTTGATGACATGGCTGAGAATTGGTTACAATAGCGAAGATGTATTCACCGTTTCACGTTTTCTAAAGCATGAATATTTTCACCAACCCTTATCTTCAAATTCCTTCTCATTCCATACACCTATATTTACTTTGATATCGGTCTTTTTCTACCCACTTGTATGCTACTGTGAACTGTGGCGACTTGATTCGATGTAGTTCTGTGCAAGGTTCAACGTTGATTACCCATCTGTCACTTTTAGATCTATCCTATTGCCGGTGACTAGCTATTCTCTATCTGTTTACCTATAAATAGAGAAACTTTCAGAGAATCTGCTACTACTTTTATTGAATCCCACTTAGTATCATCGAACTTTTGATTGAAGTTTGGCTGACTGGAGGTGATTATGTATTTTGCAAGAGTTAGAACCCTATGTCATTAATACAGTGTACTGTTTGTGTACTTTAAACAGCCCCGAAATATTTTATTCGGTTGTTTACAGACAGCAAAAAATTACTGTAAAAATGTGAAAACTATGGTAAGTCATATTTTGAAGACCGAACTTTGTGTCCAGGTCTGCTCAGTCATTTGAGCTGTCATAAACGTAATGTATAAGCACAATACACGTCCAACAACCTTTTGTTATTATATTTTATTCAACCTTATCAATCCATTTTAAATAACATAATGTGTAAAATATCATTAACTTTAGTAGTTTGATATTACTGAGTTACTATCTAACTACTACATTCACAATACATAATCTTCAACATTTTAGTTGAAATGAGATTTGTTAAGTTGTAATTTATGAAATATTCCTCTTCGTTACCGAGTAAGTATAATATTTATACGCGACCGTGCAATTTGACAGCGCTATCACAGAAAATGACTTTCTTGCTGACTGTTTTGTTATTTGATGCTAATTCTGAAGCCAAAACGTCGAAGTTGGTAACCACCAGAAGAGAAACTTGCACATAAAGTAAATTCGAACAATTCCACCTAAACTACCGTTCTCGCTTTATAAAAAATTACCACCAAAACAGTTTGCATCCTGTGTAGACGATCGCACTGCTTCTAAATTTCATTATATTGGTTGAAACGGTTATGAGATACCTTATCGTAGGTTCTAGTTTGTGACTCAGACCATATTATTCAAGAGACTTTAAAGGCCACCCTAGCGACGATCGAAACAACCAATTAGGTTCCTTTGTTTAGGCTAGAAGGGTAGATTTTCGTAAAATAGAGAAGTTTGGTTGGTTATTTTAGTTGTTGCAAGTCACTCTATTATCGGATGGACAGGTAGTTTAATAAAAAATGTATACAATAATTTGATTTGTGAGTTGTTTATATAGGCTTACATTACAGTCTCGTATTTGCTTTAGTGAACACTGGTGTCACCTACATTGTGCTTTTCATCATGCTTTTACTGTGTATGAATTGAAGATCATGTCGTCGGTTTACGACGAAACGAGAGGGATGAAAGTAAACTGTATACAATTTCTTCATGTCCAGACAACTGGTGAAAGCTATAAATACTTAGTCTGCGATATTGATACAACTAAATGTGTAATAATTCGGCGACTGTTTCAGTATTAAAAGACGCTAACAATATTTATTCTAGGCAGATACAGAATTATGAACATTTAAATAGTCACTAACCATTTGGGGTAAACAGATTCAACTTTTGAATACACTAACCACCAATCAAAGAACATATGGCAGTGGAAACAAAAAAAAACACGAGCTCCTGTGAAAATATCCGTTTTAATTTAAATATTTTAAAAAAGTATCCATATGAATTTATAGCCTGAGGTATGTAGTCACAGATGCCGATAAGGTTTTTGTCAATAAAAAAAAGAACACAGGGAAGTGCACACGATTTACATTAATTGAATAACTTTTATACATACATACACGTGTAGATAGATTTATATGGTTTGGTCTGATAAGAGATTACTAAATACGTTTACTGACAGAGGTGGAAAAATTTACCGAATTAAAAAAAAAGAATAGACAATAAATACTGCCGGTAGTAGTGGACATCATGAACAGTAGAAAAGGTACACAAACTGGTCATAATTCTAATTATTATCGCCGAAAGACGAATATAGATCACAGCATCGCACGTTATAAATAATACAACTAGTCACTCTCCTTGAATTACGATTGCCGACAGAAAACACAATAGCAGTGATCAATTAAAATTAGGATGGACGAACAAGGCTGATTATTATTTCTGCACTTCAAGATATTCAAAGAAACACTCAAAAGTTTATCACCTTCTGCAGTGGTATAACGTCTACATCTCTCCCTACTTTTATTTAAACCATAGGCTAGAGCAAACTTCAGACACAACTCGATGAAATACGAATTCTGGCAACGAATGAAAATGAATGAATGAAAATATCCGAACCATGTATACAGGCATATAACCCACAACAACAACAACAAGGAATACAAGAAAACGAACTGATGAAATACAATTGAAAAGCATGGTTTTAGAATGTATGACATCCTACACAGGCGAAAATATCAGGGATTAATCTCGCTTGAATGTCCTAGCACAAAAGTCTCAAACTGTAGCAAGTATTTTTCGAGAAGAAAAATTTTTCAAACAGTTGCATAGGGTCTAGTAAGAGGCGAAATTTACTTGCCGTTGGTGACTTGACTTTTGGCTTGGTGCGCGGTGGGACAACAAAGTATAACTGTGTATGCGTAGGAAGAGGATTATTCAATTGGTCATACTGTACTGTTCTGTGCCTGCATTATCGTGCCAAAAAATGCTATGAAAAATAAAGACTCAGAAAAGAAAGTCATATAAAAGTCATACACTGGTAAACTTAGCTCATTATAAAAACAGGGTCGAAAGGGGGATACAAATCTCTCATGAGTGTCAAAAGGACAAACTTGTAGAATTACTAGGTAAAATTTGGTAAATAAATTATTGCATTATTATTACTATATATGGTGAATAAAGGGTAAAAAATTCTTCACATAACGAAATTAGGATATATTGTTCAATTTCCGTACAAAATCGCATGATTTTAAGCCATTAACACTATTTCTATCTGACAAGTCAGTTGATGTTAGGAGTAAGACTTGCTGGAGGCATCTAACAGCTTCTAGTATTCGATCAGGTAGATGGTGTATTATCATCTGTGGGTGGATTAAAATAGTCTGAAACTGTTGAGGACTGGACCAGACAGCAGCAATTGTTTTTTTAATTCCATGACGTTTTCTACAACTATACAAAGGAAGTGAAGATAAGATGAATGAGAAAAACACCTAAATATCATAGTTTGTAATACTCACTGCAAAATATAAAAAACACTAACATAGAAACTATGTAAAGGAGGCTTTCACACTTTCAGAATACCTAGCGGATGAGTATTCGATCTTCTCAGAGGAGAACGAGCTAGTAATTACACGGATTAGTATTTGAGTTTCGTAGTCTAATAGTAGACACTGTAGACAGGGATTCGGTTATAAACATGTATTTATTTTTTATCCAGCATGTAATCCATTGAAAATCATCCTGAATTGGTTGGTTGTTGACGACATCTTCGCTCACGTTCCAAAAGCTTCTTTCGTACTTCATAACTTACACTGTTTCTAGCACCTGTAGGATATCTGATAATTATTTAAGGACAAGTGCATTCCCCAGCACAGTTAGCTCTTTCCTTTTGAATGGTTGTGAGATATGGGATTTGAAAGCAGAAGATATACCAAAGTCACAAGTTTTTGATCATTCGTGTCTGGGTAGCATCGCTTATATGTGGTGGGATCACCGTGTGAGTAATGTCAGGGTGTTAGGCTTAGGGCGTTAGACAAGGAAGCCAGTGAGAAGATAGAATTGTGAACTGTGACCGACAAAGATGGCTCGGAGATGTGCTACGCATGTCAAATCACGACCTACCTAAACGTGTGGCGTTAGCTGAAGTAGGATTGGGTTGGAAGAAGCTTAAGAACAGTAAAAGCAAAAAGTAGCACCAATCCATGAAGTCTCTGATCGTTAGTGTGAGTCATGTGGGAAGGTAAAGGATCACAGAAGTGGAATTCAGTAGGCGCGTTCCGTTCTATTTTAGATTCGTCAGCTGGGTGTACTACCTCCCAATTAGTGATGTTGTTCCCACTGAGACTTAAGCCCCAGACCACTCCCCACAGACGACAGAGTGTTATCCACTAGACCACTAATAACCTTTGGTAAGGGTGAAGAGTCCTCAAGATAATAGGAATCAATGTTGAGATGACTCAAATCAGTCATAATGATGCATATGTATACACTCTTTGTCATCTTCAAAATCTTAAAGACTTTCATTATTTTTCATATACTTATTTTCTCAATTTTTACAGACTTTAATATCTGCTTTACCATCACTTTTCTACTATTTACTTCTTCCTTGCATACTGCTGTGAAGTGTGGGCAACTTGATCTCGTTCACTTGTGCGCCAAGTTCTATCTACGTCGATTTGCTTGTCTGTCTGTGCATCTATCACATGAATTATAACCTAACACCTACTCCAATGAACACAAATTCTGAGTAGACTAAAATCCTGACTGATATTATAAGTAGAACAATAATTGATTTCTTTAAGGCCGAAACTGTTTACACTAGATGAGGAAAACCAACAAATGAAAGCTTAGTATTTCTCAAAAATAGGTAGCATGACATTTTGTAGATGTTACATCAAAAAGAGGATATCATATTCTCAATAAGGAAGCAACCAAGATATCGAATTGTTTTGCAAGATCACGTCTAGTCCTGACAAATGTCTGGATCAGTTGTCATTAATCTACTACTTGGATAACTTCACCTCCTTGCAATAAACCTTTTTAAAAGCTTGTGGTAAAGCTGTTAGAGACAAGACAATTAGATGCCATAAAAAGTCACAAAGTAAAACCTAGTTTTGAAACATGAATTATCTGACTGTATTGACGAGAAAAAGGAGCTCCAATTTTCTCATTTCATCTCGTAGAGCATTTACTCGAACGCAGAAAGACTTAATGAGGAGTGTTTTTAATTACTATTGTAGTTCAGTGCGTATCAATTAAGTGTGTGGAAAGAAAAACCCAAAACGTAAGTCGAAAAGCCTGCAAAATTATTCGAAAAGTAAGTTAATATTCACAAAGCCTTTAAAGTTATTTATCCCAGTCCTCCTAATCTCAACCATGCTCTAGGAGTTCGTCTTTTACATAGAGCAAAAGCCGTCAGAATCTACCTGAGCAAGCCAAGTCTATGTGTTTTCAGAAGAAATTCGTACAGCCTCTTTCTTTGCCTTGGCCTGCATATATAGCTTATCCGTAGAAAACATCACCCTCGCACTTATCCATCCCACAGACGGCGGTAATTATTATCATTATCATTATTAGTTACAGCCATCTTGCTCCTCCCACCCCCACCTCGCTGTCTCTAATTACTGTCAACAAGTGACCACTTGATATAGTAATTTATCTTCTCTTTTCTTCATGTTAGTTACTACTACGCAAACCATCAATTATGCAACAATTTCAGTTTATCATTAACACATTTGTAAAAAGAAATCATCGTGACATGCTGCAGACAAACAGTCTCAAGACAGATAAACAAATTAATTATCATTTTGATTATCTGAGATAACCGTAGTTTGTCAGACTAGTATTGATACTAGGTGATGATTGGAGGTGAAATGAAAATTTGGACCGCCGGGTCAGAAACACAGTAGTGGCTAGTTCGAATCCGGCCGCGGTCCAAATTTTCATTTCACCTCTAATAATCGCCCGGGAACAAATTAATTGTACGAAACTCATAACTGGATGGAAGATGACAACACAGCACATCAAACGAATGTGGCCCACTTAGTGTATACATTCAAACCATGAACTACTCCCCGCTGATTCAAAAGGTAATGAAATGGTGTGAGAATAGAGAATATGGATGAGCACAACCAAAAGTCTGAGGATAAAAAAATGTTATCAAAACAATTTAACAGAAAATATTTAATTCAATTGCATAAGCCTACAGTGCAGCACAAGCGTACAGCTGTCCAAAGAGAGTATAAAAGTAAGTGAGTATGGATGAACGCAGTCACCGCCAGGGAATGCAAACAGAATCTCACAACCAACAATAAGATAGATAATCTAAGATAACACAACTATATGTGCAGGATAGCAAAATATTTATGCCCAGTACTGGGATAATGCACGATTTTTTTCTGAACATGGATATGGCGAAACGCATAGTTCATTCCATGTGTGAATTGCTGGTAGCTGTACTACGAATAAGAATACTGATCTGAATAAAAACAATGAATAAGGGGAACAAAATTACTCTGTAAACTAACTTACCATGCACTGAACCTATTGGACTTCACTGATAACAGCCGTTCCAGACCAGAATTATCTATTCTCTGACCGATTTCCACATCCCCTTTAAAAACATTTTCATTCATCATCGGACTAATAGAACTATCATCTTCACTGCAATCCAGGTCAACATCAACTAAATGAAGCACTAAACCACCGAATACACCATTGGAAAGATCGTATGACTCATGATCACAAGACTGAATTTCATCATCAGTGTACAAGTTGACTTTGTTATTGGAAGATTGAACCTGTGAAGGAGATTCTGTAGACTGAGAAATAGTCACGGGAAGTAGGCTACTAGGATTGATCCAGCAGAGGAGGGAACGAGGACCAGGACGAAATCGTCTGGTAGACTGTACAGGGCGATGGCTACTTGTGTTGCCTGCAAAAGATATACAAGTGCAAATAATCATTCTAGTTAGTTACACGATATATGGATAACAAAAACTAGACTATTAGTAGCATACAAGTGTAACAAGAAATCAAGTCAAACGATAGTAATATAAGACATACACCAACACTACTTAATGACAGAATTATAATATTCATCACCATATCCAGACAGTGCACAAGTTAAGAGGAAATCGGACGAAACTGCTAAATTCTTATCCACGAACGTATCTCTTAGATTATTTTCAGTTAGGCTATACGTCAAACTCTTCTTACTGTCCTGAAATGAGAGAAATTCCCCAAGAGACGCCTCCACAAGAGATAGTTATATTTTCTCCACGAGTGTCTATGCCAGCATGTTCTGCCAACTAATATCAAATACCAAACTACCTATCGACTGTCCAATGGGCTGGAAATTAGTGGAAGACACTTAGTACAACTGATGACCATCGATCGTCACTATAGGATTCCGAAATATCAACAAACAATAGACAGCCAAACGAGAAGGCTTCAGGCGATTCTGATAACAGAACACTTCACAACGTTGGCAACTGCGATTGAAAAATCAAGATGACACAAAGAACATTCTTCGAGAGAAGCTTGCCAAGATTTCAAAACCACGAGGATTAGAAGGTGAAGAAGCAAGCGACTGTGCAGTTAACTGGTTCTAACAACCTCTGATCATATCTGAGGAACTTCTCCTTCAGAAAGGACCAAATTACAGTACGGGAGACACTTCGAGACCAGAATCCTTCACAGGCCTAGAGTCATCACTGAAGACTTCAAGAAATATGACAAGTAATCGTACTTCTACTTCTGACCAGGCAAAACCAAAACTTTACTCAACTAACCAGTGAAGAACATAGAGCTCTTAAGAAACTGAAGAATAAAAAGAACATCGTTATAGTTCCAGCTGACAAGGGGGCACTACAGTAATCATGGCTGAAGACGACTACATCGAAAAGGCGGACGACTTACAGACCAAAATGTATACCAACCAGTTGAGAAGAATCCCATTCCTACAATTAAACCATCCGGCTCAGGGAACACAACACCGTCAAAAATATTGATAGACAGCTAACCGCAATAACCGGTAAAAAATGCCTGACAAACTGCTTTGGCTAACATAATATAATGACAGATAATTTAAATCCGTCTACTACTCTATCCAACCAGAATAATACACCAATGTTTAACTAGAGTCAGATAAAAAGATGAGGTTTCATTATATTCAAAGTGATCAAGATTTGACGACCACCGGAATCTTATTAACAATTGGATACAATTTGTAATTATCAACTGGCTAGCACAAATTGGTCAGTACAAATTCAATCAATAAAAAGTATATATACTTCAATGCTAACCCAAATCCATAGATTGTTTCTAATCAACGCTATGAGCATATGCAGGTCTACGACCTATGCAAACGTCAATAGATTTTATAAGTGATCAATTGTATTCTATCACCGTGTGTATATTTTGTTGAAAAACAACGCAGAGATTAAAATTACAACTTGTACAACACATCAAATCATTCACAATGGCTATGCAAACAGGGGGTAGACAATTTATATCTTTATGTCAAGGCTTAGAGACAAAGTTTATTATTCATATGCTCATATACGAAGAGGTGAACTAAAATGGAACCAAGCTAGATTATTGCTAGCACGTGATAAATACATCATCTATGAAAATACATTTGTTTCTTTGTACATATATTTTAGTCAATGTATACAGAATTCAGATGATTCAAGCAGTTCTTTGCCTACATTTTATACTTCTCACCACCTTAAGATTGGATTGATTGCAATCATACACTGGTATTTCCTCATTATACATCATGAACTATGGCCTGAACTAGTCCAAAAAGACGTTCTGTATTACTGTTTCCTTATGCGAACCTATGATCCCGAAATATGTGAGCACGTCGTCTACTTGCACACTAATGAAAGCCCCATCCCCACTCAATGACTACTCTTCAGCTACTCTTTATCGACGTCACTTTTAAGGATGCATAGTTAGTTTTTTCCGTTTTAGAAATCCTTTGAGTATAGTTTTGGAGGGGTAATAATTTCTCAAGTAAATATTTTTTTAACCAATTGATAGAAAGAATAATTTACCTGGATTAGAGGAATTTCCCTGTTGTGATAAACAAACTCGCATTTCCTCATCATCATGTCCAAGTTGTGGGATGGAATGAATCAGACGCTCTTGAGTATCTGTATCCAGTAAAAGAGTATCATTCCCAACAGTTGTTAGAGATCCTCTATAAAAACAGTTTGGTAAGCACCACTTAAACAGATAACGGCGCATACATACAAATATTCCGCGACTTAGGAGACGATGTTTCGGTACTTTACAAATTGATAAAGCGTCAAGTAAACGCCATTTGAAATCAGATATTGTTGATTTGTTCATACGCGCAAAAATATCATATCCATAAATGATAGACAATAGGAAAGGTTTACAATAGTCAGCTAACTCTTGACTAAAGGTGGAAGACAGGAAAGAAAAAATAAAGGTGAGTGATGAGTATGCTAAATAAGTGACGATTCAGTTTGCACAGCATACCTGATAATTAGTTAAGCTACAATGGAGATACACTTATACTGGAATATGGACACGCTTATCTGCGTGCTACTGAACGAATAAAAATAATTTTGTTGATCTTAAGTGTTGTCAGGTTGGTGGGAAACAAAATTTATATTATCAACAATCTTTTCTACGCATTCTTTACTTTAAAGAAAAATTGACTTCGTTTTCCGACACGAAATCTATAGACAAGAGAGAATCTTCGCCTCACATAGAAAACCTTACCATTATATAGTTAGTATTTCAGAAGGATGACGATACACCAACAGAAAAGTTGTCTGCTAATTGTTGGCTAACAATAATATTAGTAATACTATTAATGAAACAGTGTTTCCCTGAGTAATATGGGTGAGTGAAGCTTAGACAAGTCATCTTAACAGCTTAGACGGTTATTACGCATTACATTTTATACGCCTATCATTTCTTTTAGGAAAAAACTATTTTCCTGATGATTTTTTAAAAGTTTTCATCCTTGAATTAAGGATTGCGTCATATAATAAAACATATTAAGGGAGGAAGGTGTCATCCAAGGTATCGAAAAAGTAACTGTGAAACCAACTTGTGGACTGATGAAGGACCCATCCTTGACGGCCCATTCGTTTGATCTATGTGAAAGATTAACAATACCAGTTCTTATCTCATTCGGTTTAACCTAACTACTAGACTTAAGAATTTCGATGGCGATGATAGGACCTGGTATAGTAGTATGTACCTTTAGGAGTTGCTGGACTTCAAACAGAACGATGATGAGAAATCAATGGAAGGAAAAACGGAACAAACATGATAACAAATGATAAAAAGAACACAGTAAAAAGATGTAGTTGATTCTGCGACCCATTTATTCTGAAGCCCAACACCTGAAGTAACGAACTACAGCTTCACTTGACTGCTGGAGAATAATGACAACACAATGTAAAAAAGAGAGAGATTTAATTTTACTATACCGGCGACTGGTTGTATTTATTCTAGTTTCCATCACATCACAGATATTAGTCGGAACAATTGCGCAATACCTTGTCAGAGGTTCTAACTGATAACTTTGACCACATTATGTCATGAACGTTGATTCTCGTAATAAGTGTATAAAATAGCAGGCTTTCCGAATTGTTGATACAACCCTGCATTAAAGTTTGGGACTTTTATGCCCATGAGGTTTTAGTCGTTTAATGTAATATGCTAACACTTTGTGAGAATCACTTTCTGCGGCTGCTCCATCAAGGAACAGTGGAGATCGACAGGTCGATTGGAAACAACACATTCAATCCAACATCTAGGCTAACTATGCAATGTGAGCCAATTTTTGGCCTCAACAACTTAAGAGAACTATATCTGGAGACAATTTTGACCAGCTGTGTCGATGAAGGTTACTATTTGTGTATTATTGCATGGTTATATGCAAAGAAGTGAGCAGAAGGTAAGCACTGACATCTTGTGTTGCAAGGAAGGCAGTAAGGAGAATACATAGGAGTTTAGTTTTAATTTTAGACACGACATGATGAATTAGAGAAACAACAGCTGATATGCACTTTGTTCTCTGAGAGAATCAAGCGAGAGTCGAATAAATGAGACAGGTTTGATAAGTACAGTAACTGTTCAGTCTGCCACCGCTGAAAGCATTATCGCTAAGTTAAAGTCTTGAATCTAGTAATTATGAGTTATTTAAAATCATCTTGAGAAGAGAGAATATCCAGTTAATAAGTTATGACCATATATGTAATTTTTATAACGTTAGGAGCTGCGGGTCATTGGTTTAGGGAGACAACTCTCAACCAATGCGTCACAAGTTTGAACTACGTTTCATCTACCGAGGTTTGGGCTGCCAGATAGTATCATTAGGCTTCATACAATAGATGTGGTTCATTGCCTACTGTACTAATGTGCAAAGGTTTCTGTGGGCGTACTTCGTTTTTTTCAATTATGTACATGTTTGCCTTGACCTGACACTTCAAAGAGACGTGATAAAGACGGAACTGATTTATATAGCATAATAATTATGCTAATCGGTTCCTAATTACACACATATATATATATATATATATATATATATATATATATATATATATATCAAGCAGTGATATTTCTATGAATTATCTGCTTTTCCCCGCATAGTTAGTACAAGACAAGAAGATTATAAAAAACTATTGAAAATATACATTAGGACAGAAGAGAAAACGAGCAGTTCAACGAATTCATTCTAGTTTAGGATTATAATATGGATAATATTTAAGTGACGATTCGGAATACTTAAACAGATTCACTCTTATTTAAGATGCGATTACGACTAACAATGATTGTCGAATTCAATGTAGAAACCAAAAATACAGTGAATTAATATACTTAAGCACCGAAGATTAAATGAGATAAAGCTGTCTGATATCATAACTGTTACTGCTACTGGACTCTCTCAGAAGAAGTATGACATAGTCCAATCCCTCACTTTAAAATTAGTTACTGACCTTCAGTTTATTAAAGGCATACCATTGAAGGTAATGTGATCGAAATCGTTTAGGAAAACTGACAGTAAGAAGAGTTATTAGTTTTTTTCATTTGTGCAGACTGGTTGACCTTAGTGTTCGCTACAGCTTGTAATTACCGATTGTTGATTGGACAGTATTGATCAGTCTCTATGGGCTTCTGCAAGGATGGTGCCTAGATATTGCCAGTAATTTTAATTTGATAGTAATGATGGTTAGTGCCTAGAAGTGGAAGGTCAAATACATAGGTCAAATTAGTCGACAAGGTCAATCAGGCTATCCGAGCATAAAAACCTGGCTAGGTCAAAATCGGTAAATCCTAGTAAGGTAAGGAATTTAGAGAGAAGCTCAGTTATAGCTATGCATGCGATTACACACAACCACATAAAGGATGACACAGGGTGAAAATACTTAAAACTAACATAGCAGGGTGGAGGGAGAGATTGATAACCGACTCTTTGTTTATCTAATCAACATGTAATAGGTGCAACAGGATCGACTTAGCACATGTTCCGGATGTATGGAAAAGTTCTACTACCCACGTCACAAAGGAGGTGAGAAAATAAGGACTATAGAAAAGATGTCTCAAAGTTGTGTAGTTATCTTGATATGACTATGGACAATAAAGTATGTCCGAAACGTAATCCAGTAAACAATACTGTTCCTCTGTGTGTACCAAAAATTGTCTACATATAACTTCTAAGATGCAATGCTGTGATTTGACTTAGGTTATTTCAGGTACCGTTATAGACGGAATAAATTAATTGACTTTGTCTGACATCAAATCTGTAGTTTTTGGTGACCCCACCAGACATGAGTCCGGCAAAAAGATATGAATAGTGACCTAACTATAAATAAAAAAAATTCTTGATTTCATGCGAAGCTTATTCATTAATTAATCCTTATAAAAGCTTAGATGAGGTCAAATATCACAAATTAGAACAATAAAAGTGCTTTTTTTTCTTAGTATACAAGTAGTGTCTACATTCAAAAAATTCATAGTAAAATAGTTTCAGAATTAGAAGAAACTCTCCTCAAAAAACACAACATTTATGTAAGTGTTAAAAGCTAAAAAGATTTCTGCACAGGAAGGGGTGTGATGAAACTTTTATAGGAGTGTGCATCATACCTGAACTGCGTTAAGATCATAACTTCATTCATCAAAGAGATAAAGCTGACAACATTGTATACTTGCTGGAAAAGATTATGGCTAGAGTCAATTCAAAATGTTAAACCATCCATTTAAGTCTGCACAGAAAACAATAGATGTAATATTAGCTCTTTCTAACTTCGAAAGAGAAGGCGTTGACGATATGAAAGTCGAAAATGCAAGAATCTCTAGTCAGGGTGGGGTAACATGAAACATGGCATCCATGACGTATCAAACAATTTCAAAGACAATACTGCAGATGGGGATGATGCAAATAGTAAATGTCTTGCGAAAAGTACACTGAAAAAGTTTACAATATGACAAGATACTAGCGAAAAGACAAAGCTCCCATTTAACGTTGAATCTTAGTGACAACCAAGAAGATTCATAAAACTCTTTTGGTAATAAAATAAGAGATTTCCCGCAGGATTCGTGACGTGTGTCAAAGAGCATAAATATTACCGAAGAGTCATGCTAAGCATGTAGAATTAGAGGACAAAAAATCACAAAAACTGTGTACACTTCTATAGAAAATATTTCACTCTTTGTGAAAAGTTAATCTACCTACCAATAAACAAAAGCTACTGAGATGTGTTCTTCGATTTTATTGCTCCTAGCTACCGGATATAAGTCTAAGCACCACACTAAGTTGAACCTGATTTCTTGGTGAACTTGCCAAATAGTTTAAAGTATCGTGCGAACAGATGTAGATTGCATATCATTCAACTGATCAGCTACCCAAACAAAAGACAGTGAGGCTGTTTGGTGAAAGAAACATTGTTAATAATAAATACCATCTCTACTTTATTCGTTCATTTCTATAACCTGTTTACTTTTTGGAAAATCATGCTTTTTGTCAAACATTCAAAGTCACTTCGATAGTATGAAATAACCAGCAGGTGTATGTGTCACTTTGTGTGAAGTTGACCTGTGCTGTCATGATAACCATATTCACAGAAAATTATGTTTCCAGTCTCCATGATACCTGCTGTTTACACAGTGGTTATTTTTTTCCAAGGTAGTATTAAGTTTTGATTGTCAATATTTCTACTGAGTTCATGTAGCTTGTTTGCTTATCCATTGATCGACAGTAAGTTAACAGATTGAATCGAGTATTGATTGACCAATAGTGTTTGTTTATTTTTTAGTTTCAAGGACACATCAATACCACGTTACTTTTGATGGTTCAAAAAATAATGATATAATCAACGGGTGAGGCTAGTAGTTATTCCCAAGCGTTATCGTGTTTGTTATGGGATATAACGTTCTGTGAGCAAAACTGCACATTTTCAGTATGCTTTTTTCACTTCACTTCAAAATATATGCTTACAAAACACTGAAAATAGGTATATTCATACAGAATACTATGACACCTGGGGATAACTTTTAGCCTCACTCATAATCAACTGATTACAACCAATCGATGTTAGAGACAAATTATTTTTCTTCAATTGTCGTGCACATTAGATCTCAGCAAAGAGTGCAAAATACGGATAAAAATAAAGAACTAACGCTTTATCAAAGTGAAGTGGAGCTATGCTTCATTGAAAGGAGCACTTGAATTTTAACCAGTGAATTATAACATCAAACCTCTTTCGAGATAAGCAATGTTGGGGTGACAAGCTATTGACATCAAGTAAAGCCTACATAATGATGACAAAAGTCGTATGAAACTGCCGATCTGCATTATTTGTCTATAAGGAAGTCAGTACGCCAAATTAAACGAAATATGTAATATGATTGATATTTATTAGGCAACAGATGTTTACCTATTTCTGAACAGGTGAAAAGATAGACGTTAATGTGAAGTCATATAGGGTTTACTCTTAACAGAAGGATTACTAATATCAATTTCACTAAAGTATAAGAAAAAAACAGTAAAACAAACAACAAGTTAGTCAACAAATGAAAAATGATATCGTATTGAGTTTTAAAGTAACAATGCTCACTTCATCATTCCTAAAGGTGCGCTGAAAGCATAGCCTTTCACATCAGGATATGTACAATGCAGAATGACAGAAAGAAAAGATGCGATACCAGCTCCCAGACTATGACCACATACAACCAATTTATAATGAGGTTTCTTACTAAACGCTATTTCAATTGAACGGTCGGTTACCAAACAGTTGTATAAATATCTTGACCTCTCGACCATACCACGATGTCCAATGAAGCATGGACGTGTGCCTGTCTTGGACTCAACAAATGTTTCAACTTCTTCCAAACGCACACCATCATATAACAAGTCGACAATTGTATCCTCAAAGGATAATGTACCACGAACGGAAATGACAATGCACTGACTGTAATCATCAATCGCTACAAAGTAAGGAGATTGATGAACCTATGGGAAGTAATAAATAAGTAACACAAATGTGATATAATGACTATCACCAAATGTTAAATACTCTTGAACAAAATTTACGAAAAATTCCTGATTATAAGATAAGTTACTGGATGATAAAGTTGCCAACCGGAGACCTTTGACTTCACAAGCGAGCAGCTCGATTTGAATTGTAAGAGTGAAATGACATAAACAGACAGACAAGATCAACGTAGAACTTTGCACAGAAGTGCACTGGATCAACTTACCACACTTCGAGTTAATCGCCAAGCCCAAAACCTAGATGTGTGAAATCCTCCCAACTGCTCTTAAACAGTAAACTGCAAAGCCAAATCAAGATCTTTCAAATAGTGGGAACTGCAGTTACCTCCGACAAAATAAGGGCGGTTTTAAAGGCCATCCTGGCAACTGCTCTAATAACCAATCAGGTCTCCGTATTCCGGCTAGAAAGGTAGCTTTTCGTAAAATATAGAAGCTAAAGTTGTTATCTCAACAGTTGTTACGATGGTCTTTAAAGTCGCTCCCAAATAACGTCTGTCAAAGTATACCACGATACTTGGCCTCCTAGCTTGGTGGCCACGTTGTAAAATGGTGCACAGAATTTGGTCAACGTTCAATAATAAACATGAGATTGGTCGCCTTCCAGTGATCAGTCAATGAAACCCAGTCCTATAGGAGTTGAATCGCCACCCAAATAGCTAAGTGGCAAAGTTGCTAACTACAACAACAGTTCCCTCTAGGCTGCAGATACTCCTTGCTGACGAGCGCCAAGAAGCACAAAACGTAGGTCCAGAGCTTCCTACTGATAACCTCCAACTAACTAAGATCCATCAAAGTGGGGACTTTGTCAGTAGCTGTCCTGAAATTGATACAGTATTCCATCGGATCCTTATTAAGCCATAAAATGTAAACGGGTGAACAACCTCTAGACAGCTAGCCACATCTACTGTACGATTGCCTTCACTTCCATGAATGGAGTGGAATTCGATCTAGTTACAGGCATTAAATTGAGTTGAATGAAACCTAGTCAACTAAAAAGCTGTCTGGTTGAGTGGTAAAAATTGTCAATTGAATTGCTTTCATAATTATCACTCACGAGTTAGGCCTGTAATCCACTTTTTAATCACTTTTTCACTGACGACGATGAGAGTTCACAAAACAAATGGATTACACCGATCGGGGTGATTATTTTAGTAAAAAGTTTTATTCGGACACCTTATTTATTGTCAAATTTCAACTGCTATTCATTCAGCATTTGTTTTACCATTTATTTAGATAATGAATACCAACACAATTTACCCTACGCATATACGATAGTTTTGCAATCGCATCAAAACGCAATCTCAGTTCATTCAAAAACAATCATGTTGAATCGAATAAACCAAGAGTGTTATTCATTTATGACTGACGCATGAATTGCGGTCACTTTATTCAAAGTTGAGACGAAAGAAAAAACCCTAATTGGTTAGACAATATTAGGGCGGTGAAAAAATGACAGTCAGCCGAGATAAAAACTTTGGTAGAGAAAATTTTCAATACTTTATTTTCACATTTAAATTCAGAAATTTTTGGAGAGACAATTCATTACAAGCCACTATTCATTATGAATTGAAGAGCGACTATTATGTTCTCCTTTGTCTGATGGCGTATTTTTCGCACAATTCATGCATGATGGTACGCAGCAACAAAATACTACCTGAATGAAATGATGAAAGTTTATGTATCTCTAATCGCCGAACCGGTTCTCCTTTATAAGTTTTACAACGCCTTGGTTTCGAAGAGAATATTCCCAATTAGATTTGCTCATTTGTTTTATAACACAGTGATCTAGTATTATTTACTTGATGACGTTTTGAGCATAAATTATTGCTCATAATCATATTAATGTAATCACACAACTTCCGACATTTGATTTCTGTAGTTACGTCACCCCATATGATTTGTTATTATTGGTAGTAAAATCTTCCATATCTCTGGTATAGGCGTTGCGTCATTTCTATTACATATGTTGGGTGTTATTTCGATGAACAAAAATTCAGTAATCAATCTCTCTCTTCACCTAACTACCACCCACGTACGTAATTTTATGTAATGACTGTGAGGTCAAGTACATAGGTCAAACTAGCCGGTCGGGGTCAGTTAGGATAGCCGATAGTCCAATAAAAATAGGTGGAGAGAGACTGACTACTGAATTTTTGTTCTTCGAACTAACACCCAACATATGTAATAGAAATGACGCAACACCTATACCAGAGATATGGAAGATTTTACTACCAATAATAACAAATCATATGGGGTGACGTAACTACAGAAATCAAATGTCGGAAGTTGTGTGATTACATTAATATGATTATGAGCAATAATTTATGCTCAAATTGTCATCAAGTAAATAATACGATATCACTGCGTCATAAATCAAATAAATAAATCTAATATGGAATTGAATTCTACCATAGTGCCCAGGTTTTACACCTATATTAAAGAATATTCCCAAAACAATAAACTAATAACCAGAGTATGGAGACGATCGAGTAAAAATACAGTTTTCTATGATAAATTAGTAAAATTCTTGCTCCACCTACGTAAATCACTATACATTAATCAACTTCGGACATGACGATTAACTTAGTTATGTACCACATAAAATATGTAAAGGATTATTTTGCCAACCCGCCGTAAACTTGGGGAAGCAGATGTAAAGGGGGGTAAACCTTGAGACCCATTGTTTGGCAAAGCCACTTAGCTACAACTCCACAAAAAACCATAATAAGTTTATTATTCAAGAATCCATGCAGAAAATCTCCTTAAGTAACTTACTGAATTGTCATAGGACAATTTAACAAACTGATCCTCTCTCAGTGACGTGAATTCCAATATTGCGGCTAGGTCACATGTATGCCCTGAGCATATACAACAACTTAGTTGTGTCTGATCAGATAAAGAATGATTACAAGAATTTCTGTATTAAATAGAAGCGGATAAACAGATAGAAACAACATTTGAAAGCATGCTCAGATAAACAAGAAAAGTTAGTACAATCACTTTCACTAGATGTAATGGATTAGAAAATTATAATTCCGAAAAAAAGGATGAAATTGATTTATAAGTATTCTAACATAATGATGAATGTGTATTAGTTTTGGTGAACTGAAATGTAACCGACGAAGCTTTAGTAGGGAGACAGTGAGTTTAACCGAAATTTGTAGAATTATACCGATAACTGTCAACGCTTTAAAACACACGGTAGTCGTAAAGTATGTATGGTCAAATTATACTTTATTTTGCTATAAAAGTTTGCAACATGAAAATCTTGAAGATATTTTAATCACAAAATAATTCGAAGGATCAATGATTGATATTCGATACATAGTTCTAAGTAATGAACCTAATTGGAAATGTAGATTTTTGACTTGAACATTGGCATTTTAAGCAGTGAATCCTGGGTTCAAATCTCCCACCTCTCATTTTACCTAGGCAGGAAGGCATTATCATAAGCCTTCACACAATGAGTGCCTCACAGCCTGGTGGGAACGGCCGTTTCAGATGGAACTGCACGAAGTTAAATAAATGGCTGTAAATGGCTGCAATCTGAATCAACTGAAGTGGTTGGTATATATATGGTGTGCTTAATGGACTACTTAAAATACCTCGATGTGCCACATTAGAAAGAGAGTATACGGTTATAAGTTCCAATCAAGAAATGGTATTTATCCATTCAGTAACTGAATTCAACAGTTCACCTTGTGGAATGCTAGAAGACAATGTCTGGAAACTTAAGAGGGTGCAATTCAGAACGATCGACATCCCATGGATACAGTCAAAATTAATGTTGTAGTCTTCATATAATCGTTTCTTTCTGATTTATATCATTTATCTGTAGGCATTACAACATCTTCCTGACTCTGCTTTCTCGTTCAATGCTGAAGTGAACTATGGAAGCAGGAATGAATCTATCTATGCACAAAAAACTACTCTTCAGTCTCCTTTTATACACATCCACTACAATGGAAGCATCTGTACTAACATCAAAACGAATAGTAAATAAAAGCGGAGATTTTTTGTATTTTCGCGACATGAGAAATTTTTTTTATTGTTGAAGAGCTGAGGTGATAACATTTCAAAATTCTGAGTCCAACCCATGTAGCAGCTTAGTTTGACTTCGACTGTGAATGAACCAATTAATCACGAACAACTCGAAAACATTGACTAAGCATCAGGTTTTACAAAATTCTCGACGTGAAAACTGGAGTCAAGAGTAGTGTTTGCTCCTATATGATAACCAGTGAAGTGCCTTAGTGATAACAACTAGCTCAAGGTAATCTGTTTCTCAATGCATTCAAGTCGATGTTTGCTTCGTATATTGAGAAAAATATGGCTGCTTACGAAACAAAACGTTCGTAAAAGACTGCACTGAACTGAAAAATGTTAATTTCGTAAGACATTTCTAAACTGAAAATATGTTAGAGGTAACTTTATAGAAAATTGATAAACAGTTACATACATTCAAATTACGTTAATTTAGAAAGGTTATATTAGAAAAACGTCCATTGATGTAAAAAAATGGGTGACTTTCTTAAAAAAATTATGCGACTGTAAATAAATACAATGGTGACAAGATGACTAATGAAGCATGAACACTTCCGAAATACTAAAATTCACTGGATATGTAGGGGAAAAAACACATCGGCCACCTTTGAAACAGCAGAAAAGAATATGAAAACTCATGGAAAAAAAGAGTGAGCAAAAAGCGATGATAAATGAGCTTATACAAACCACTGGACTTTTAAACCTTAAAACAAATAAAAATCTATACACATAACATATAAACACTATTTGTTTGTAGAAAAGTATCATAAAATTGTCAGTTTCTAAGTCGGAAATATTTTGCGTTCAACCTACACTATACAAAAAAATAGATGGTGAAAAATGCGCTTGTTCGCTTTTTCAACACCCACACATTAAATATATACTCAGCCTGACTCACCGAATAACTAGTGAGAAGCAATGAAATTCACCTTAAATAGTAGTTATCAACTTGGTATGATCGTGGAGATGGATTGGGTATACACTGAGAAGACCATTGGGCGACATCACGCACCAGGCCCTCAAGTGGAACCCGAAGGGGAAAACGACGAGTTGGGCGTCCCAGCTTAGGGTCACATGGAGAAGATCATGTGAGGAAGAAATGGAAGCTTGTGAGCAGTCGTGGAGTCAGGTTGAAAAGACTGCAGAGAACAGAGTGAAATGGAGGCGTGCTACTGAAGCCCTATGTTCCACTAGGAACTCAAAGGACAAATGAATAATAATAATAAACTTGGTACGATCACATCGCCGTTACAAAATGAATACAGTCGGTTTTTAACCCACTTCTTCTGATCATAAACTTAGCAAAATACAAATCGGAACGGTGGATTATTAACTGGCTCCGTCTAACAACTTCCTCCACCCTAATTTATGGCATGGCGAACACATTAAAAATTTAAACAAACTGTGGAAAAAAATAATCATTTAGCCAATGAATACATAGTGTTATTGATCAATAACTTAGAGATTCGAATCGAAGACCGTAATGTATTCAACCGATTGCAGTGTATGTACAAGAACCACTATAAGGTCGCAAATATTAAGCTTGCAAGTAGGGTTGTGTAGATTACTGCATCTGATGTGAGGCTACAAGAGACAAGTGAATAAACAGTGAAATACACTTACTAAACATATCATTGTCGCCAGGCAGGTATTCTTTTCAGTAGAGGAAACGTCTCTGAGGAGGATCGTCTTCATTCACCGTTAGTCTAAGAAGGCCAAAACTATTTGTTTCGGTCGACAAACTGGGAATTTCAGTCATTTATTACCATATTGAGTATTGCTGATGCACTTATTAGGCCGAATATATGTCCACCAATAACAGTCTTACAATCAATGTATCTGTCTCCACCCAACCATATCGTTTGTTCCATCTGTATATCTAATTTCAGTGCGTATATTGCACAGTGAAACTCAGTTAGAAAATATCTATGTATTAGGAGGAGAAGGAAGAAAACTAAATAAAACTTGACCACTGTGGTAGGGTATAATTTCATATTAGATTGTTTATTTGATGTAGGACGCAGTGATACAATATTATTTACTGGATGGCGTTTGAAGCTGTATTTATTACTCGTATCCATACGGCCTTCAAATTTCCCATAGTTATTCCAACAATTCTCTATTCTTTTATTTTAATAGCAATAGAACAAGTCAGTAAACTATATCTGTGAGGAGAACACCATAGGATTATCAACAAATCAGCTAGTATCCGCAACGAAATCGAACTGCAGTGGGGACTGATGAATGTGGTAAACAGAAGAAACTATGAACTTCTAGTTGAAGCATTCAATAAAGCAAATCCGCAGCTTTTAACAAATTCAGAAAGACTAAAATTAAAAAGTTGGACAAATGAGTGGAAGAAAATACCCCACAGAGAAGAATGAAGCTACAAATGTGGCATCACCAACCATCGATCCAACAAAGTGAGTGACCAATCAATCTCTCAACTAGAGAATTAAGCTCGACTGAAGTAAAAGTTCTTGAGAAAGGACTAAACTTCAAGGTGGAAGTGAATCAACTCAAAGCTGAAGTAACATTAAGACTCAATGGATAAGACGACTGCTGATTAGTCCCGTGCACAATGTGCACCAATACTAAAACACCAAAAGAAAGGGAGGAAGAACTTAACGACAATAGAAATTTGAGAAGTGAAAATAGTAAAGTAATTTCTAAATCTGACAAAGACAACTCGACAGGAGTTATAGATAAGGTGGATTACTTGAAAAAAGTCAATGGACATATCGAAACAGGACTACATGAGGAAATAAAAAACCTGTAGACACACTTATGAGATTAATACACCGAATGAAGCCATCTCCAGATATTTGGCGTTGTATACAGAGGAGTCGTCTGCTTGCATTATAGTTCTCATAACTAGCGATTATATTGCAATTCATAGGTAAAAACTAGACCATTGATCTTGAGAAAACACAAAGCGGAGGCTTTTGGATACATTTTATTGAGGCGAGAAAGAGCAGTGATTCTATAACATGATAATGAATGTTATCTCACTACCTGTCAAACACAATTTTTCTCACTTTCATTCTTCCTTTCTTCTTGTGAAAGTAAGGTGAGTACCTTTCATGTGACTATTTACCTAATCCATTTGGAAAGAAAACTAATATATCTTCCTAAGAGAAGAGAGTAAATAAAATTAGAAACTGTCGGTAATACATTTTATCAGGTCAGGAATAATAAGGTATATCATGATTTAAATCAATCGTTTACTCGAGCGTTTTATGCATAGTTCTTTTGGCTAGTGATTTTTCTCTATACAATTTTGAAACCTAAGGAACGAGTATACTTGATATCACAGTTTGATTTTCTTGTAACCAAATCTGCTACAGTACATGTCACTGCATGTTCACTAAACCAGTTCAAAGCGAATAAATATCCTACTCACATGATCTGTACTTATGTCAAAAATTTACATGTACTTCTAGTACGTGTCAATTACATAGGAATGACTGAAATAAGGATTTTCTTTCTTTTCTTGACCCCATTCCAAAGAATTCACGTTTCAAGGGAGAACAAGGTTATGATTAGTGCAACAACCTGATAACCTCATGGATACGAAACATTGAGAGAATAAATATCTACGGTTGCTAAATTACTACACGTATAAAAGATGATTGGACCATTTCACATCGATAAAATTATTACTATACGCGTTTCCAATTAGAACTATACAAACAGAAAGTGTTATTGGTCTCTCATTTTCATGATGGTTGGATTCTGATTTTTATTGTACAGTTCTTCTTTGTATTTACCTAATCATTTCAATTCAGTCGATTTAAACCTAGTGGAACTCAACTCTTTAACATGTCAACAACAGTTTTTCTCCATTCTGTTCGCGAAACCTCCAATAAGGTA